CATTTGTTTTAAAGTATCTGATAAAAAAAAATGTAAGGATTGAGGAGTAAAAATCTAGCAAACAGCAGCTCACCCCTTTGCATGCATATCCTCCGTCTTGGAGATGTAGACGCACTGTTTCTTAGGCGGGGGGGTCGTGCTCACATCATCATCATCAGACGAGCTTTCTAGCGTCAGATCAATCACATCGGTTTTCTTGGAGAGGCTGGGCTCCACAGAAGGGACCACCACCAAGGACTGGGGTAGAGGAGCTGTGGCTGAAAGAGGAAACAGAAATAGAAATGATTTATTCTGGATCAACATGCCTCTAATCTTCACCTCCCTGCATCATAACAGCAGCCAAATAAGTTAAACTGGAGTCATAACTTTAACCGTTATATTACTACAGCAGACCGTGATGTCAGAGAGGAAACAACAGGAAGTCAGAGCAACCATCTGTAGACCTCAGAGAAAATAAGCAGACGATCCAAAACTGTTCAGCTTCTGACCCTCAAATTGTACCAGAGTCGACTCAGGACCAAAGATACTGAAAACATAAACAAGCTTTTCAACACTATCAATTATCATACTGCTTTGGTTGTTGAGGCGTATTGTAATATTTTACAATGTTCTATATTTTTGTAATCACTTCAACATTTATGTTTATTGTTTAACTTCTGTAGTGGATCCCAAGAGCCCATACTGGCTGATCAAAGACTCCAAAGTGGGGTCATGACCCCAACTTTGTGAATTGTAGTGGTCTATAGAAACCAAGCTGGGGGGGAAGGATCCAGAAACTTCTGATGCTCTGAAGGTCCCAGTGAGTCCATTGGCCTTCGCTATTGGTAGATGAAGGAAGTCTGGAACCAGCAGGACTCAATCAGATGGCAGAGGCCTGCTCCCTACTGGGAGGCCCTGGATAGCTTTACAGACCGTTTCATGGACCACATAACATAACAAGTCCTGGATCAACCCTGAGAAAAGGTTCTCCTCAAGGAGAAGAGAGCTGTTAGAAGCAACAGAATAGAGTTGGAACTGCAGCAGCAGTCGGAATGGTGTGGAAATGTAATTGTAGAAGTAATTCCATTTATTTATTTTTTGTTTTTTTATTTTCAGCTAAATGAACTCTCTGCATTTAACCCATCCCCTTGGGGAGCAGTGGGCTGCCATTGTGCAGTGCCCGGGGAGCAGTTTCCGGGTTAAGGATCTTGCTCAGAGACCCAGAGTGGCAGTCCCTGGGAGTGGGGCTGCAACTACTATTCCTATGGAACTCAGAACCTCAGGATTCCAAGCTCTATGCCCAAACCACTAGGCCGCCACTCCCCAAAGCAGACTTATGCCCCATTTACACTACCCTTGAAAAACTGTGCCGAGACCAGTCCGAGCTCAGTAACTGAGATAACTTTCGGTTTTTTCCTGGATCGGTTCTCTGATAACAAGAGCGCATGAGCAGAACGCATCATCTCCGTCTGGCTGCGCATCCCGATTCACACTCCATTCCAGTAGTTGGCGGTAATGCCCCTCCGGAAGTTGATTGCCAACCAACACAAAACAGAAGAAGAACAGCTATAAACAACAATCGAAATCTTCTCCACGCAACATTTTAAATATTTTGCCGTTTTCGCCTGACCCTCCGCAAACACCGAAGTACAGCAATAATAATCAAGCATAACTTTCTGAATGTGACGGGCGCCGCCATTTTGATTTGCTTGATTCCCTCCTTCTTCTTGTGTTTTATGGCGGTTGGCAAACAGCTTTTGGTGCATTACTGCCACCAACTGCTTGATTTCCTGCTTAAATACTGACAGTAATACCGCGGATCGTCACGAGGAACCGAGATAGCGTGATGTGTAAACGGTCGTCAGAACCGAACTCGGCCTGGTCTCGGCATTGGATCAGTTTTTCAAGGGTAGTGTAAATTGGGGTAGTAAGGACCCACACTAGCAGCTGGGATACGAACCCAGGCTTTCTGTTTGAAGGACTGGTGACTTACCAATTGAGCTAACCAGCCGCTAATCTTAGATCACAAACCAAAGTACCAGGATGGAGCTGATGTAGACTAGACGTGAGAAACGTGAAACATGCTTCCGTGGTGGACCCATGTATAGTGACCTTATTTCAGCCGCATGTCTCTTTCCCTCGTACCCCCTTCCCCATCAGCCTACTGTACAAAAAACAGGCCACGTAAAAATCTTAAAAAAAAAAAAAAAAAACAAGCCTGCCCCTAAAGACCGTCCAGACGGTAACAGCTCCAAGTGTTAGAAACAGGGCAATGTCATCCAGCAAACTGTCCTCCCAGCAGAGA